TATCCCTGACTGGACCTGCCCCCGCTCCCCTGCCTCCCCTCCCCAAATGTTGGGTTTACAAGCATGCACTACCACACCGCTTGGTTTTATAAAGCACAGGGACGGAACCAAGGGTTCCTTGTTCCTAGGTACCAGACAAGCACCCTGCCAACGGAGCTACACCTCCAGCCAAAGATTGTATCTTGAAATGTTGGGTCTCCGGGACGCACAAATAATGGGGAATAGACCACTGAAGTCTATTAACCAGAAGCAAACTTTATTCCAGACACTATGGGGCAAAAAGAAACTTCCAGCGTCTTGGGCCCCAGGTCAGAGCTCAGGCTTCTGACACTGACGATGGGTATAGGTTTTGAGCCTCTTCTTGTAGGGAAAGCCAAGCACTAGGTATGGGCTAAAGAGATTATCACAGTCTTGAGGTTAGGCTTTGCGGGGAATTAAAGGGACTTTTACAATTTCAAGTTTTAGGTCTAGGGTCACGTAGAGGCAACAGTTAAAGGCTAAAGGGATCTATGGCAGGGGGTCATGCAGAAGCAACTAACTGTTAAAGGTTAACCTTGGTCCACAGTAGCTGTCGGCTGTCAGGCAGGGAGCTAATGTTGAAAGTTAATCTTTGTCTGCAGTGGCTGTCAGCTCCTATCTCCCTAGATTATGTGCAGGCTTACAATTTTTATATTTCTGGGCTCTTCAGAACATGATTCTATGTCAGCAGGAGATGTATCCTTGTAGGATTTTTTATTTTTTAATGCACGAGTGTATGTATTTGTGTGAATGTACATTCAGGTGCACAGGTGTGTGTGTGTGTGTGTGTGTGTGTGTGTGTGTGTGTGTGTGTGTGTTGTATATGTAGTGTATGTAGTGTGCACTTGTGTATGTAGTAAGTATAGTGTAAGCCAGAAGACAACCTCTGGTATTATTCTCAGAACATTACCCACCTCCTTTAAGGGAGTCTCTCATTGCCTGATCTCATCAACTAGGCTAAGCTGGCTGGCTAGCGAGCTCCAGGGATCCCCTGCCCCCACTGTTCTAGCTCTGGGGTTACAAGGATAGCCTTGTTTTTTTTTTCACCCTGGGTTCTGGCACCTGAAGCAGGTTCTCATGCTTGAAGGGAGACTGGGCCTTCTCACCAGCTCCCACTCCTCCCATTTTGTTTGTTAAACCAACGAGGAGAGTGAGCCGGAGGTCCCCCTTTTCCCTGCAAGCACCACACTAGCTGAACCACAGCTCCATCACCTTTGTGATTTTCCTAAAAACAGATGAAGAGTATGTCATTGTTTGAGTAAGCCATGAAATTAGGAGTTTCTGGAAATAGAAATCTACATTGTTTCCAAGTCTTCCCTATCTCTTTTCCTCTTCCTTCCTTTTCTTCCTTCCGTCCCTCCCTCTCTCCGTTTCCCCCTTCCTTCCTTCCTTCCTTCCTTCCTTCCTTCCTTCCTTCCTTCCTTCCTCCCTCCCTCCCTCCCTCCCTCCCTCCCTCCCTCCCTTCCTTCCGTTCCTTGAGAGGGTCTCATGTAACTGGTCTTACTTCTGATCCTTTTTTTCTCCCCCATCTCCAGGCTGACCTCAAACTCCATAGGGAAGCCAGGCTAACGTTGAGTCAGTTACCTTCCTGCCTCTGTCTCCAACGTGTTGGTATTGTGTACAACAGTTATTGCGACCTGCTTTGCTTCCTACTGATAAGTCCCATTGTCCTTTAAAGAAAGACACAACTTTGGGGCTTGACTGAGTAGTGGTCAAGAGTACTTGCTGCTCTTGCACAGGACCTGGGTTTGGTTCCCAGAACAGACACGGCAGCTCACAACCCTCTGTAACTCCAGTTTCAGGGGATCTGACACCCTCTCTGGCCTCCACAGGCCCTGTACATATGGTGCACAGACATGGGGTTTCCATCTGGGTACCAGCTTCCTTCATCTCTGCATGTGGCCTGTGTGAGGCCCGGGTAAGGAGGAGAGAGCTTGCTTGAATTTCGCCATCTGCAAGATCGTTCTTTTGCAATACCCAATGTTAAAAACAGTTGGAGAAAGAAACTGACTAGTTCTGTGCTGGAAATGCTCGCATTCAAAGATGAGTAGGCAGAAAGAAGCAAAGAAGGAAGCTAGAGAAACACACATAAGACAAAACCCCATCAAAAGTAAAAAGGAAGGAAACCCAGAAGAGATATCTGAGATATCTGGACCTATCTGAACCAAACCTTGAAGAAGAGCCAAAGCCTGAGCAACACAGTTCTGGTGGAAGCTCCACCTTAACCCTTGTCCTGTCTCTCTCTCCAAAACCCTGTCTCATCTCAGAAAGCTGGCCAAACACAGAAATGCTCCCCCAGAAGTGCTCAAGACCACTCCCACAGGGTATTTAAATTGCCCCCCAGAGAACAGACACATGATTTTTCCGTCTCTTTTCCCCATCTCCTCTCTGGTGGCTGGAAAACCATCTGGGAGCATTTTACCCATTAGACCTGGGCTTTTTCTTAATTTGGTTTGATTCTGATTTTAATATCCGGGTGCAGAAACTTTTGAAAAACCAGAGAAGGAAAAAACCACAAGAGGAGGAAAAAAAATCAAAAGAAACTTTTAAGGAAAGGCTGACTCAAGATCTTCAGGGCCTTAAAGAGGATACACAAAACAGGCATTTAAGCAATGAGGTTATGTTGAGAGAAGGAGATGAAACATCACACAAGGAGCATGGGAAGCACACACAGCACACAGTGATTCCTTGGAACGCTAATTGAAACCATCTTTACCCCTACATAATGGAGTTTGCCTTGATTTCTGTTTTATCCGATAGTACCAGGACAACATAACTGTTTTTTTAAAGCGTTTTCTTCATCGTACTTTAATCTGTCTTCCTACTTTGAATCTGTTGCTGTTAATGGTTTTATACATATCTCTTTTTAAAATTTTTTTTATTTATTTATATTTTATGTATGAGTGCGCTGCATGTACACCTGCTCACCAGAAGAGGGCACCAGATCTCATTACAGATGGTTGTGAGCCACCATGTGGTTGCTGGGAATTGAACTCAGGACCTCTGGGAGAACAGCCAGTGCTCTTAACCCCATCTCTCTAGCCCTGCATATCTCTTCTTATCTTTTTTTTTTTTTTTTTTGGTTTTTTCGAGACAGGGTTTCTCTGTGTAGCTTTGCGCCTTTCCTGGGACTCGCTTGGTAGCCCAGGCTGGCCTCGAACTCACAGAGATCCGCCTGGCTCTGCCTCCCGAGTGCTGGGATTAAAGGCGTGCGCCACCACCGCCCGGCTTCTTCTTATCTTTTATTATTATTATTATATTTGGAATGAATCTCCAGGTCTCTGATTTTTCATAGGAGAACATTACTGATTTGTAAAACATGAACTTCTGATGGGATACTTAAGGAGATAGATTACAATGTACTATAGAATATTTGTGAAAGCCAGGTGGTGGTGGCGGCGGCGGCGGCGGCGGCGGCGGCGGCGGCGGCGGCGGCGTACACCTTTAATCCCAGCATCCCGAGGCAGAGGCAGGTGATCTCTGTGAGTTTGAGGCCAGCCTATGGACAGAGCTAGTTCCAGGACAGCAAGGGCTGTTAGACAGAGAAACCCTGTCTCAAAAAACAAAACAAAACAAAACAAAAAAAACAAAAAAATTTTCTTTTTTTTGTGAAAGACAAGAGAGTTCGTTTATATATTACATAGTTCCTCATAGACAGAAGGCTGCACAATCTCAGTGGTAGAATTACGAATAATTTTTTTGTTCATTTGTATTTTCCATATTCTTAAAATGAACTCACATTGTTTTTTGCTAGGAATAATGTCAGTTTTAATTAGGGTTGGAGAAATGACTCAGTGGTAATAAGCCCTTATTGCTCTTGCAGAGGACCTGGTTCAGGTCCACACCCATCTGATGGCTCACAAGCACACTCCTGTTTCAGGGTATCCAAGCCCCTTCTGACCTCTGTGGGCACCAAGCTAACATGTAGTGTGCAGACACACGTGTAGGGTGTTAATTCTGCCGACCGAGAGTAAAGACCATTACCCAAATTCTTTGGTCAAATTAAGCAAACTTTATTTTCTGTCAGACTGGGCTATTTCCCTAACGCAGAGTTTGAGACAATAGCATTGAACACAGTGGGAGGTGGGGTTTTACAGCCCCCCCAAACTGCAAGCCTAGGGGGGCTTTCAAGGGTTAGGGGATTTCCGTAGGAATTTTGGTTATGGAGGAACTTGGCTGAACATCGCAAAATTATTTGGTAGAGGTTAGGGTACAGTGTGTAAAACATGTCAAATTCCAGAAAGTGAGTCAAGACTTGGTCAAATCCAAGTTTTACATAAAACAAGAATGAACTTATTTTGACTTTGTAACAAAATGGCTTTTAATCTTAAAATGAAATCAGGTTGGTCCATCACAGGTGAAATACATGTAGATACAAAAATAAATAAATTAATTAATAATATACATATATATATATATTTATAAGTCGCACGCACGCACGCACGCACGCACGCACACACACACACGTTCGTTTTTTCGGAACAGGGTCTCACTGTGTAGGTCTGGCTGTTTTAGAACTCATTTTGTAGCCCAGGCTGGCCTCGTGCTAACAGATAACTACTTGCCTCTGCTTCTCAATGGTCAGGTGTAAAAATGTTTTTTTTTTTTTTTAAATAAAAAGTTTATAGCTACATTATATATATATATATATATATACTCACACACACACACATATAGAGAAAGGGTTCGGAGTGGAACAGGCAGCAGTGGCACATGCCTTTAATCTTTAATCCCAGCATTGGGGAGGCAGCGGCAGGTGGTCTACAGAGTGAGTTCCGGGGTAGCCTGGTCTACACAGAGAAACTCTGTGTCCAAAAACCAAACCAAAACAAACAAAGACATAAAAAAAAAAAAAAAATCTGAACAACAATAAATGGACTAATGGGCCGGGGAACCTGTTTCCCAAGCTCGTATCCCGCAGCGCCAAGCTATGAAATTTGACCCCTTGGGGCTACCGTCGCGGGGACCGGAAGGGCCCGCGACTTTGCTTCCGGGCCTTCCTTTTGCTTTTCCCCCCTGTCTTCCTCACGCTGCTTCCCCACCCCCGCGCTCTCCGCCGTCGTGTTCTGTGTTTGTCGGCGCGGCCGAGCCCTGGAGGCGAAACCTGGGGTCCGCGTGGAGAGACACAGCCCCTGTGGTCGGGAGCCGGAGCTGCGGAGCGGGCGGGCTGAGGTGGGCTGCGGGGGAGCCGGGGCGGCTTCCCGGGGGGCGGCGGCGGCGGTGGAGAAACCCGGCGGAGAGCGGGGACGGCGGGTGGGCGCCTCCGCTGCAGGCTCTGCTGTCGTCGGGAGACCTGGTCTGTCTGTCTGTCTGTCTTCCTCTCCCTCCTTCCCCGCTCCTCGGCCTCTGCTGGGCTCGAACCCGGGCCGGGGCCGCCGAGAACCCCTCCCCTGCGCAGCCATCCCCCTGCCTGGGGGCCGGAGTTCCCTTGCACCGGGCAGCGAAGTGACGGGGAAAAAGCGGTAAAGGGGCCGCGGTGGCTTTAGTTACGTCGGACCAGCTGTCCCCGTGGCCGGGGTTCTTCCGACGGACAGAGCGGGGGCCAGCGTGGTCTTTCTAGTTAACCAGGGAGCGCGTGAGCTCCATAACTCCCCTGGGAGAAGCTCTCCTCAGTTTTCCGGAGCACTGTTCCGAGGAGTTCCCTATTGCATATCGGTGTTCTCCAGGCCCTCGAAGCCATTAGTTCTTTTCAGGCCCGTTGGTCTGTATGAGAAGGTGAATTTCCCTAGAAAACCTCCGGGTCGCGTTCTGGAGGAGGAGGAGAGAGGACAGACTATGTGAATAAGAGGTCGCAGGATAGGAGTGCGTTTTCTACGAGACTGAAACTGTCTGAGAGTTGACTTAGGGTCAGTTTTGTTTCTTGTTCTGCACAGGGCAAAAGCATGTCCTCCCTCCCTGGGTGCATCAGTTTGGACGCAGCCCCAGCTGCAGCTGACTCTGAGGACATTGCCGAGCTGCAGCAGGCCGTGGTCGAAGAGCTGGGCATCTCCATGGAGGACCTTCGTCAGTTCATTGATGAAGAGCTGGAAAAGATGGACTGTATCCAGCAGCGCAAGAAGCAGCTGGCGGAGCTGGAGACGTGGGTAGTGCAGAAGGAATCTGAGGTGGCTTATGTTGACCGGCTGCTTGATGATGCATCCAGGTAAGGACGCACGGAAACCAGAGAAAATGTCCGTTTGCAGGCTTGCGGGGGTGACTGTTGATGGCAGAGTTGAGTCAGGTGGGACCTTCCACGTCCTCAGGGTTTATAGTGCAGAGTCACGGCATTCACGTTCCCCTGTGTATGTGGTCAGCCGTGGGGACGGTAAAGGCTTGGATTCCTTTGTGTTCCTCCTGTTCTGAAACTGTTTCCTTAGTAAGAAAACCAGGAAGGACCCTGTCTCAAACAAAAGAAATAAAAAATTCATTAAAAATATGAAAAAGGACTGCGGATGTTGATTTCAGCTGAAGTTACTTGTGTGTACCACAGCACCTGGCTTTTGTAGGTTTGTAAATGGTAATAAATACATAAGATTTCTCAGCATCACTCATCACGGGGTGACATGTAAATCAGAACCACTTTTTAACTGTATTACATGCCTGTAAAACCAGCACTCAGGAGGTGACACCATAAAGGTCATGGGGTCAAGGCCAGCTTTCACTTACATAGTAAATACCAGGCCAGCCTGGTGGTGGTTGACTCTTGTTAGACTTTCTTTGGACCAACCGCCTGCCCCGAAATAATGACATGGAGACTTATTATTAATTATGAAAAGTTGGCCTTTAGCTTAGGCTTGTTCCCAAGCAGCTCTTATAACTTAACCTGTTTCTATTAGTCTACGTTCTGCCACATGGTTCTTTACCTCTCCTCCATTCTGTATGTCCAACTCCCTCCATGCCTCATTGGCATCTTCTGTCCACCTAAATTCTAACCCTGAGTTCCTCTCTCTCCCTGGAAGCCCTGCCTATTTTCTCCTGCCTAGCTAGTGGCCATTCAGCTCTTTATTAAACCAATCACAATGATACAGCTTCACACAGTGTAAACAAATATCGTGTAGCCTGGGCTACATGAAGACTCACTCTCAAAAAACAAAAAAGCATACAAATGTTTATTTTAACATTATTCATGATTGCTAAACCGTAGAAACAGACGGGTTGAGGAAAGGGTCAGCCGAATACATGGTGTCTGCTTATAGTGGGGTACTATTCAGCTGTACCACTGTACTGACTGACATGTTCTGCAACAGATGGACCTGTGTAGACCACAGATATTATATGACTCATCTATATGAAATGTCCAAAACAGGCAAATCCATAGAGACAGACTGTAGATTTCTGTTTGCCTGGGTTTAGGGAAGTGGAGGGAAAGGAATGATGGGTAAATGGGCATGGAGTTTCTTTTTGGACTGATGAAAATGTTCTGAAAGTAAGTGCAACATGATAACGTCACAGTCTAATCAGTGGACTAAAATTCACTGAACTCCATGCACATGGATTGCACCTAAATTAAAAATTTGTGCCGGGCGTTGGTGGTGCACGCCTTTAAACCCAGCACTTGGGAGGCAAAGCCAGGGGGATCTTTGTGAGTTCCAGGCCAGCCTGGGCTACAGAGTGAGATCCAGGAAAGGCACAAAGCTGCACAGAGAAACCCTGTCTCAAAAAAACCAAAAAAAAAAAAAAAGGTTTTTTTGTTTTTGTTTTTCAGACAAGGTTTCTCTGTGTAACAACCTTAGCTGTACTAGAACTTGCTTTGTAGCCCAGGCTAGCCTCAACTCAAAGAGATTGCCTTCTCGAGTGCCGAGATTAAAGGTGTGCACTACCACCCGACAAGAATTTTTTAAATTAAGTGAATTTTAGAATGACGTAGATAAAATAGCCACATTTCATGTGCACTAAGTAGACGGTGGTAGGTGTGGGGCGTTTCTCTTATCATCAGTAGTTCTCTTGCACACTACTTCTAGGAAATGAGCATTTGCTCAAGTTCATTAGCCTCATCATAGTTTTATCATTTTTAATTTTTTCTAAATTTTTTGAGGCAGACTCTTCCTATGTAGTTGTAGCTGTCCTGGAATTGACACTGTAGACCAGGCTGGCTTGAACCACAGAGATCCACCTACCTCAGCCTGAATATTCAAATAGATGATGAAAAGCTTAAGTATATTAGACTCTCACCTGTCTCAGTTCATCCTCTAGAGGTAAACATTGGCAGGTGTTTTTTTTAAATCTCCAGACCCCTTTCACTGCCCCTGTCCCAGTACTGGGTGTTGAACCTACAGACTCCTGTATGTTACCAATAAATGTGACCCCACCCACTTTATAGTGATTTGTTTGTTTGGTTTTGGACTTTTAAAAGTGATTTTGCTCTTTTAAAGATTTATTTCATTATTATTATTATTATTATTATTATTATTATTTTTATTTATTTTTTTTTTTTGAGACAGTTTTTCTGTATAGCTCTGGCTGTCCTGGAACTCACTCTGTGAACCAGACTGGCCTCAAACTCAGAGATCTGCCTGCCTCTTTCTCCCAAATGCTGGGATTAAAAGTGTTAGTCACTACTGACCGACCTGGATTGAAGCCTTTGTTCAGTGGTTATCAGCAGGTTCTGAATTTCTAGAAGACTTGAGTTTAGTTTCTAGTCTATGTGTGGCAGATTTCAGCTCTCTGTAGCTTCAACTCCAGGACATCAGAATCCCTCTTTTGGGCTCTGCAGGCACCTGGATAGAGGTGCCATTTTTCTACACTGATACAGATATATTTTAAAATAGTCTTTAAAAAGAATTACAGTATCACAAATATATTTTCATGTATATATGAATTTGAGAGACTGTAGAAGTTTTTCAGTAGATAGAGTGCTTGCTTAGTCTGCAGGAAACCCTAGGTTCAATTCCAGCAATGTACTAGCAGTGTGTTGGGATACATGCTTATGATCTTAGCACTCAGAGATGAAGGCAGAAAGTTTATGATCATCTCCATGTCCATATTAAGTCCAAGGCCAACCCTGGATTTTGTGTGACCCTTGGTTTAAGAAATTAATTGGGATTTGAGAATGGCAGTACGTTGGTGAGCCTACCTTGGGTTTCACCATCTATGCATTTGTCGTGCAGTAAGCTCTGTGAGTTATAGTCTTCTCATAGGTATGCCAGGTGCAGAAGTAGGAAGGAGCCGAAGAGATGGTTCTTTGGGTAAGATTGCTTGGTTTGTAAGCACGAGGGGCCTGAGTTTGAATCCCTAGGACTCATGTAAAAAAGTAGCTGAACATGGCTGTGTATGTAATCCTAGCACTGTTGGATAGAAGTAGATCCCCAAGAACTCAATGGCCAGCTAGCCCAATGGCGAATTTCCCATTCAGTGATAGACTGTTGCTGAAGGCAGGGTTGGAGAGCAACAGAGGACGCCACCTGGTGTTGCATTGGCCTCTGCATGCTTGGAGCTGTCATGCTTACTGCTTCTTGCACTGCATACATAGTGCACATCAGAAACAATGCAAAAAATAGTTACCAGGAACTGCATACACTGTTTCATGATAATAAAATTCAGCTGAGTTCATCCCAGAGAGATTAATAAGAAATGACACCTAAAACTGATTTCTGAGTCAGATGTGTAAGAAAAAGTATCTTGACAAAGTGACCACAAGCTCCCAAACACTTCTTTTTTATTTTTATTTTTTTTTGAGTCAGATGTAGTTTTTTGTTGGGACTGCCAGCTCCCAAATAACCACACAGAGACTTTTTCTTACCTATAAATGTTCAGCCAGCTCCTATAACTTAAACTAACTCATTTCTATTCATCTATATGCTGGCCTGAAGTTTGCTTACCTCATCTATGAACTTCCCATGTTGCTGCTTCTTTGGCTGGCTTATGACTCCTCTGACTCAGTCCTCTTCCTTCTCAGCGTTCTCGCTGCCCTGAAAATCCTGCCTAGCTATTGGCCAGTCAGCTTTTTATTAACAATGAGAACAACACATCATCCCAGTGTACAGGATTATATTACAGAAGGGTCTCTCTGTGTAGCCATGGCTGTCCTAAAACTCTGTAGACCAGGCTGGCCTTGAACTCACAGAGATCCACCTGACTCCACCATCACTGCCCAGCTCTCAAATACTTTTTCTATTTTTGTATTTTATGGGGTGTGTGTGTGTGTGTGTGTGTGTGTGTGTGTGTGTGTCTGTGTCTGTCTGTCTGTCTGTCTGTCTCTATGTGTCTCTGTGTAAGCATGCCCATGCACTTTCTTTTGCCTTATCCCCTTGAGACAGTATGTCTAAATGAATATTAAGTGTATCGTTTCATTCCAGCTGTGCTGCTAGTTTTCCGAAATACCCAACAGCACTGGTGTTCTAGGCACTCACAGCTCTGACTGACTGCCCTAATCCCTGTTCCGTTGCTGTGCAGAGACACCATGACCTAGGCAGCGCATAAAAGAGAGCATTGAATTGGGGCCTTGCCTACAGCTTCAGAGTGTCAGTTCATTATCTTCACGCTGGAGAGCATGCTGTTACTCGTTGCACTGGAGCCGTAGCTGAGAGCTACATCCTGATTCACAAACTGAGCAAGAGATAGAGACAGGACCTGGCATGGGCTTTTGAAACCTCAAAGCCCCCCCTCAGTGACACACTTCCTTCAACAAGGCCATACCTCCTAATTCTTGTAATCCTTTCAAACAGTTCCCCTCCCTGGTGACTAAGCATTCAAGTATATGAGCCTGTGGGGTCTGTTATTATTCAAACCACCACACTGGTTTTTTAACATGGGTGCTGGAGAGATGCACTCAGTCTTGCTTGTACAGCATGCTCTCCTACCCAGTGAGCTTTCTCCCCAGTCCTTCAGACATAATTGAATCCCTTTTGGTTGTTGAAGACAAGTTCTTCACAGGTGGTAGTATGCTTTTTCCTGTCTTTTATTTGTTTGTTTGTTTGTGTGTCTGTCTGTCTATGTATGTATGTATGTATGTATGTATGTATGTATGTATGTATGTATGTATGTGTGTCTGTCTGTCTGTCTATCTTTCTATCTATCTATCTATCTATCTATCTATCTATCTATCTATCTATCTATCTATCTATCTATCTGTAGCATTAGCGATGTGAACCAGGGGTCCCTGCACATGTTAGGCAAGTGCTGTCTCACCAGGTCCCCGGCCTTCTCATTGTGTCTTAACTCCTGACAACTGCATCCCCTCCCCTCACCCCTTCCATTTTCCTACAGCTCCGTGAAGCTATGGCTGCCTTAAGAAAATCAGCTCAGGATGTCCAGAAGTTCATGGATGCTGTCAACAAGAAAAGCAGTTCCCAGGATCTACATAAAGGTTAGTGTTGAGGGGTAGCTACATAAATGAGAGGCATGTTCTTTCTGAAATGTTACTGACAATCAGTTTTGTGTCTCAAAATCCTATTCTAATTGTCACTTTCTTTTATTATTATTATTATTATTATTATTATTATTATTATTATTATTATTTTTATTGTTTTTTTGAGACAGGGTTTCTCTGTGCAGTTTTTGGTGCCTGTCCTGGATCTCGCTCTGTAAACTAGGCTGGCCTGGAACTCACAGAGATCCACCTGGCTCTGCTTCTTGATTGCTGGGATTAAAGGCGTGCACCCCTCCCCTCCACATCCCACACCTCCCTACCCCCAGCTTAATATTTTTATGTCCACAGTCAGTCTGAGATTGATTGATATGGTGGCTCAGGATGTTAACTGTTGTTACTGTTCCTGTTAGTAAGGAGTTAGGACTAGCTGGTTTTTGTGGTGACATGCTAGGTAAGCACTCCACAGCTGAGCTACATGCCCATGCTACCCTACCGCCCTCTTGACCTTGCCTTTCTCTAACCTCTGACGTCACTCTTTATAACAACTCCGTGTGTCTGTCTGTCTGTAGGAACCTTGGGTCAGATGTCTGGAGAACTGAGCAAAGATGGGGACCTGATAGTCAGCATGCGGATCCTGGGCAAGAAGAGGACTAAGACCTGGCACAAAGGCACCCTCATTGCCATCCAGACTGTTGGTATGTTCAAGCCAGAGGACGGCCTAAGGAAAGGTAGCCTGTAGGTCTCCATTGCTGATTCTTTCCCCAAAGCCTTTCCTTCTGTCTCCTACATCGCAGCCAGGACGTAGAGCTGTGTCGTTGCTGTTTGTTTTGTTTTAATTTGTTTGTCTTTTACCCAGGTCTAGGAAAGAAGTACAAAGTGAAATTTGACAACAAAGGAAAGAGTCTGCTGTCTGGCAACCATATTGCCTATGATTACCACCCTCCTGCTGACAAGCTGTTTGTGGGCAGTCGAGTGGTGGCCAAATACAAAGATGGGAATCAGGTCTGGCTCTACGCTGGCATTGTAGCTGAGACCCCCAACGTCAAGAACAAGCTCAGGTACCTGGACAGGATCGCAGATTGTAGGGAGCAGGAGCGGGGAGCACAGTGCCCAGCTGTTGATGCCGTGGCCAAGATTTCCCTGTCAGCTTTTGTGTCCTCGGTCCCTTGTGATCAGAAACCCTTTCTCTTTTCCCTGTCATTTCTGTATATGTAGCTCAGGCTACCATCACACTTTTGTTTGTTTTTTGAGATGGGTTTCTCTGTGTAGTCCTGGCCATCCTGGAACTTGCTCTGTAGACCAGGCTGGCCCAGAACTCAGAGATCTGCCTGCTCTGCCCCCTGAGAGCTGGGATAAAGATGTGCAGCGTCACTGCAGTTTGTCACACTTGTAATGTGTCCTAGATTGGTCTCAAATCCACAACCCCCGCCTCCGTCCTGAGTCCTTTAAAGGTGTGCAGCACGCTGCCAGGTTAGAGGCATTGTCTTAATGGACATTTCCTCTTCTCAGATGATCCTAGTTTGTGTCAAATTTACAAAATTAGTAGCATACTGGAATTCATAAAATTGTAGTTTAGCCAGGCATGGTGGTAAATGCCTTTAATCTCAGTTTTGGAAGGCAGAGGCAGGGGGATCTCTGAGTTGGAGGCCAGCCTGATCTACAAAGGGAGTTTCAGGATAGCCAGGGCTGTTATACAGACAAACCTTGTGTCAAAAAAATAAAATAAAATAAAATAAATAAATAAATCGTAGTCTAAAAAATCTTGCTATATGACAGGCAGGGTCACTCACACCTATAATTTTGTAGTCAAAAAGCTATGGCACAAGGATCACTTCAGGTTAGAGGATAGCCTGGGCTACATGGTGAGGTCCTGTCTCATGAAACTATCAATTGTTAGGTAGGTGTGGTTGCAATTGCCTGTAATCCCAGCACTTGGGAATAGGGGTTAAGAGGTTCCCAGTAGTTCAGGGTCAGCAGCCTTACATACTGGGATCCCGTTTCAGCAAACAAAGGGGCTAGAGACTGTGTTTAAGAGCACTTGCTGCTCCTCCAGTGACCTGAGTTAGGTTTCCGGCACCCATCTCTGAGCGCTCACAACTACCTGTAATGCTAGCTCCATGGGATCTGACACCTCTGCCTGCTCACGTGCCTGCACTTCGGTACACAGACTTAAATGTAGACATAGATACATATAATAAAGAATAATAAAAACTCACCCAGGATTACACAGAGAAATATTCTATTTAAAAAAAACCAAAAGAAGGGCTGGAGAAATGGCTTAGAGGTTAAGAGTACTGACTGCTCTTCCAGAAGTCCTGAGTTCAATTCCCAGCAACCACATGGTGGCTCACAAACATCTGTAATAAGGTCTGGTGCCCTCTTCTGGTCATACATGCATACATGCAAACAGAACACTGTATACATAATAAATAAATCTTTAAAAAAAAAAAAAGAAAAGAAAGGGAAAAAAAAAGAATAATTAAAAACAAAACTATACAAAACCTCTACAACCAACCAACCATTCAACCAAAACAACCTAACACACCAACAGACCAACCAAACCAGAGGCTATCTATCCTCTCACTCTGCCTCTGTTCAGCGGATGGCTTATTAAACTTTACTGATTTGTTGATAGTTGTTCATTTGTGTGAGTGTGTGATACAACGTGGAGGCCGGAAGACCGCACTGGAGCGGGCTCTCCTTCCACCTCAGGTGCCTGTCGCTCTGGAGCCGTCTTCCCAGTTCTGCTTGTTTGTTTGTACGTTTTGTGTGTGTGTGTGTGTGTGTGTGTGTGTGTGTGTGTGTGTGTGTGTGTGTGAGTGCACACAGGATGGTGTGTGAGCAGTGAGGACACTTGCAGGAGTCGATCTCTTCTCCCTTCTGTAAGATCAGAGCATTGGAGCTTGGGTTGTTAGCTCGTTGTGTGTGCCCTTACCAGTGCAGTCACCTTGACAGCCAATTCTTAACTGTTTGGTGAATCACACTGAGACTGCAAGACAAGGGCAGTGCCGTATGCTTGTAGTCCCAACACTGGACGAAGGGGCAGTCGAATCAGGACTTCAAGGCTGTTCTCATCCACATGGTAAAATTTGAGGTTAGACAACCCCTCCCACACCCACATCCACATGGGAATGAATGTAATAGGTTTTGAATGCTAGTTTCTTTCAGTGTGCTTCTCACTACTGGATTAATTTACAAGGTCTCTTTTGTGTCGAGTCTTTGTATTTGTTTGTTTGTTTGTTTGTTTATTTTGAGACAGGGTTTGTCTACATAGTCCTGGCTGTCCTGGAACTCACTATGTTGACCAGGCTGGCTTTGAACTCACAGATATCCACCTGCCTCTGTCTTGAGTGCTGGGGTTAAAAGCATTCACCACTATGCTCTGCTTTGTATTTTTTGATCTGTAAAGTTGTACAATTTGTCTCATGGTGTTGAGTATACAGCGTCTGCCCTTAATTGCCCAGTTCTTATAATTCTGTGTGGCTATCACCTTACCATTTGTAGAAACTTGTCACTTTATCCTTTTTGACGCAGTAGGACGAGTTTCATTTTGTAGTCCAGGCTGGACTCTGTCTTCTGAGTGCTGTTCTACATGTCTTAATAAAAATATCGTCATTGCCTCCAGTTTTGCCTGTTGACATCTTTAGTACCACATGTTGATAATCTCCTAGCGTCTTTTATCCTACCAGGTTCAGAGCAGGCTTTGAAAAATTAGTTACCGGACTTTTACTGGGACAAAGGTCCTTAAAGGAAAACGGTCTAGAAAGGGTTAGAGATCACTATGTGAAGTTGACATATTAGAACATATAAAGAGGATTATATAACAAATCATCTGTAGGGAGCGTATGCAGACGAGCTCACTAGGAAAGTAAACTTTTTAGTAAAACACTCGTTTTCTGCATTTCACTGACGTCAACTTGGTCATGAGTCTGACGCCAAGAAGGCCGGATTAGGGAAACAGCTGGTGGACTGCCTAGCTCGCAGGTCCGGGACTCACTGGTGCAGTCATTAGCCCTGCCTCCCGTCGACCTCGCGTCCCTATTGGCCGGCTCTCCCCAGGAGGCCGTCCCCGGATGGCCGCGCCCATGCTGTGGGCGTGTCCCCGGCGGGGGCTGGGCGTCCGCCATCTTGGGTCCCGCGGTGGCGGCGGCGGCGGTGAGGTGCCGCTCCTGTGCAGTGGCTCTCCCTCCCTCCCTCCCCCAGCCGGTGCCGGCGGCCCCTCCCACTGAGGGTGGCGCAGCGACGGTGCCAGCTCGACCATGGCGGCGACTACGGCGAACCCAGGTGGGGAGACCCGAGGGACTGACAAGTGCGGGGAGCCGGGCTGGGCAGCCGGGCCGTGGCGTACGGGCGGTGGGGGAGGGGTGCGGGCGGCTCCTCGCCGGGGGCGCCGGGGACCGGCGAGGGGCGTCCGGGGGCTCTGCGCCCCGGGCCGGGCAGCGGAGGGGCTGGGGTGGGCCGCCTTCCCTCTGCCGGGGCCGTTTGGGAGGGCCGAGGTCTTTTAACCCGCTGCCCGCTGACGTCCCCTGAGGTCCAAGAAGTAACTGGGCGAAGTGGCTTTGGTTTACTGCGAGTAATCGGGGCTGTGAACGTAAACATTGATGTTTCACGAGGTCTTGATTTCACAGTTGGAAAGGTTTACTTTAATGTAAAACTTGGTTCTTTAAGTATCTGCTCAGATTCTTGCGGCGGGTAACTCCCACCCGCCACCCTCCCCCTCGGGCTGTACTTTGAAACTTGGAGTTGACGTTTTTCAGAGTCTGCTGCCTACGGCAGAGGTTTGGGTAATGGTTGTATTTCAGGACAGGTCTTTATCCAGAACCCATTTTTAAACCTTTTAGGTCGAGGTGAAGCAGTTCCTATTCTTTCAGAAAAAGGTTCCATGCCATTTGTCTGTGGACATCCTCCCCCCCCCCCCCCCTTATTTCTGTTATTTTGAGACATGGTCGTCCCAGGTTGGCCTCGAACCGCTGCGATTGCTTGTCTTAGCTTTCCCACTACTGGAATTACCAGGCATGACCCACCTCACCTGACTGCCCAGTCCTCTTTTTACTACATTACAATTACTTCTTATGAAGTATTCCATTTTAGTGGGCCTGATTTATCTTGACATTCTCTGACAAAGTAAATCCCCAATTTCCCAGAACTTTGTATCTTCACAGCTTTTTAGAAAGTAAGGGTTGGGGAGAGGAGTGTGGTGGTCTCTGATGTCTCATATTGAAATTTAAATTTTACTTAGTTCATATCTCTGAGTAGCAGGTTTGTATACAATGGTGAATCACTGCGAAATGTACTGTTTTCCCATTATTTCTGGAAACAGCATTTTTTTTTTTCTTTCTGAAACAAGCTCTCTCTACATAGCCCTGGCTGTTCTAGAATTCACTATATAGGCAGGCTGGACTCAAACTCTTACAGAGATCATGTGCCAATACCAGTTTTTAAAAAAATATATATTTTTTTAAGTTTTAAAAGTTATGTAAATGGGAATGTTTACACATGAGTGCAGGTGTGGGAGGATTCCAGAATAAAGTGTTGGATCCCTGGAGCAGAGTTGTAAGCCATAAGATGTGGATGCTGGGAACTGACCTCAGGTCCTACAAGAACAACACACACTCCTAAGCATTGAACCTTCCCTTCAGCTCCTAAATATCAGTTCCTTAATCCTAAATCATTGTTTACATGAAGAAAAGATGAATTAAGTAGTCAGGATTCTATTGGAGTGATTGCTGAATCCTAGGATACAAAGTATACAATTGGAAAGTGTTAGGGAAAACCAGATCGTGTAGTAAAGTAGCCCATGTCTGAGTTAGCGAATAAACACGATTTCAAACTGATCACACATTGCAAAATCCTTATACAACTCCTCAGAATGCACCGTGTTTCACTAAGAAGTGCCACAGATAAACAGATTTTAGTAAGTCAGGAGCTTTTCCAGCTGTGTGGGTGGGGCTGTCTTATTTGCTTATTTGTTCTGTTTTTAAACAAGTCACCCGAATGACAGTCTCTTGACCAGATTTTCATTTCCTGATCATTATTAGCCTAAGTGTCTAAGCAGGGAATAGTAATTTTTTTTTCTGTCATTTTTTTCTGAGTAGGGCTATTTGAGAGGCTAGCCTGGAGCTTTCTATGTAGGTAGATCAGGCTGGCCTTGAACTTGCAATGATCCTTTTCTGTCTCCACAAGTGCTGGCATTACAGGCTTGTGTCACTGTATATAAACTTGCAAATTTCTTTTAATAAGGTGAAGAAATCCTTTTAATGAAACAGTTATTATTTTTTTTTTTGTTGTTGTTGTTTTATTTTGTTTGGTTGGTTTTTGGTGTTTTGAGGCAGGATTTCTCTGTGTAGTCCTGACTGTTCTGGAACTTGCTTTCTAGATGAGGCTGGCTTTGAACTCAGAGATCTGCCTGCCTCTGGCTCCCTAGTGCTGGGACTAAAGGCGTGTGCTACCACCACTTGACGGAAACAGTTGATTTTGTTTATTTTCATTTGATTGCTTTCTTCTTCAATTTTGAGATTGCATTTTATTTTTTGGAGATGGCATCTCCCTGATGCAGGATAGAAAGAAAGAAAATTATGGGGACATGGGAAGGGAAAGGAGCCCTTTCACAATCTGGCTAAAGACATTATTACATTTGCTAAGGCCTTTTCTCCTTTCCCAGCTTGAAAACTTGAGTTTTCCAGACAGAAGTCTCACTGGAGTCTGCCTTTGTGATACAAGGGCATGTTCTGAACCCTCTGTAACCTGCCTGGCTCCTGGTGTTGAGTCATCCTATAATTGTATTTACCAAAAGAAGAGGAGGACTTCTGAACTCCTTTAATCTTTGCAGAGGCAGGGGGATGTCCAAGTTCAAGACCATCCTGGCCTACTCAGTGAGTTCCAGGCTACATAGTGAGACCTTGTCAAAAAACAAACAAAAAAAGGCAAACCAGTAAAATAAAAAGAGGAGGAGTGGGTTCTTAGCAAACCTTTGAGACCTAGCCTGCGATTCACAAGAATCTTCTAAGACCTTAAATTGTTGGTTTCCTGTAGTAAGCCGGAACTCACACTCTAGGATGTCTTCTCTTTCCTGAGCCCCTTTTCTTTTTCTTTTTAAACCCCTGTGCTTGAAATCTGTATTATAATTGCTTTAAACAAACTTTAATTTGTATCATACTGCTTGTCCTGAAATCTCTTTGAGTACAGTCAGGAATGCTGAGTCTGCCTGAGCGAAGGGCCGCTCTCCAGGCTGCTGTTAGTGAAAGCATAGAAAGCAATCCTTGTTCCTGCTGTAGCTGATGTCCCTATGTAGCCAGGGCTATCCCAGTCTCTGGG